GCCTATTATTGGAAATACAGATGTAATGGTACTAATGACTTGAAAGTTGTAATTTGATAGGAATGTAAGTACATAATTTGATACAGCTGTTTGGGAACTTTACTATGTATCATTGTAAATACAGATGGTCTGGTTAAATGTGTCTTTTACGGGTATGCGGTACAGTGCAGAACTTTCGATTTTTTGTCTCTGAAACACTTGTGTGTTACATCTGCCATCACTTTACCCAAAAGCATGTTAGGTAGGCATCATTCACTGATATTTGATTTGATTTAGGACATTTTTTTCCCTTCTTTATCTATTTATTCCATTTTTTCTTTTCGAGGCATTAATATTGGAAGTAGTCCTCATGGAAACTTTGGGGAAACGGATATGACATTTATTTTACTTTTTTACTTTTGAAAATTGTGTGTTTTACACTTTAGTGACATGAATAAACCCCACATCCATAGAAAAGGTGATATTTAAAAAAAGTGCATGTCAATTATTCATAGATTAATATTTAAATTTTGATTTTTCTTTGATATGTGCATGAAAATTTCTACAAGATTGATATGATACTTTCTGCATGTTATTTCATAATGAAATATTTAGTTATTTGCAACCTATATGCATTTTAGATGCACCATAGAAAATATCTGCTTTGACTTCATAAGTTGATGTTCATTGAGATATATTACAATACTAAAGATTAAAGTACAATCCATGCAGAATAAGTAATTGAATATTACTAAAGTTTAGATTTAATTAACAGATGTTATTATTTCACTAATTTCCAGATGCATATAGTGTTAATATTTTGAATTTAAAAGTATGTTTGTGTTTGTTTATGTGTATGCATCTGTGTGTGCTGCATGCATATGGGTGCAAATATGTATTGTATGTATGGGTAGGCCTGTATATATACTCATGCCTTCATGTGTATGTATTTGCGTATGCTTGCATGTGTCTCATGACAGTATATATAAGTGTGTATTTATTGATATGTGAGCTGATGTGTGGTTTTCTCGATGTTGACATGTGTTTTATGAAAGAGGATGCTCATTACCCCCCCTGAGAAATGCAAGACATTGTGAAGACCCTTGCTGTGAATCTGAATTTATGTTAGTGCATCTCCTTAAAAGTAACATTTTAGGCATACACACAAACTGTGTGTATCTGGCCTCACATATTATTTGAATTTTTTGTTTCCATACATCTTCATTTTCCTTAATTATGTGCTAAATACGCTGCTGGTGAATATATAAAGGGACACACTTCGCACGCTGATTGGAAAGAACATGTAATCTTCTTTGCTTATTATTATTTTTTTCTTATGTAATAAGTGCCTTTTTTCCTTATTATATCAAGGCCAACATATTTTATTTTGTCCATCAAACTAGGTAGAAGGTCACTTGTCTCAGGGTTAAATCTGAAAGGAATATTATATTTGCGATGTCCAACATGAACGAGCACTTTTTTAGTCAGTTCACTTGTGTCTCGGAAGGAATAGGTATAACTATGAATAGTCTTTATGATTGAAAATTCTCCTTTGTTTGCTTCTCAGACTTTTTCACATCTTATAATTTGCATATTTTAAAACTTCAGTATGTCACCCGAATATATCTCATGGAGGTATTGCCCATTATAATGAAAGGAAGAATGAGTTGCCATAGTACATCTCCAGAGTGGGTTTAAGTGTCAGTGTGAGTGAAAATTTCTAGATGTGGACATTAATCTTGTGGATGCTAATTGATATGTGATGTATTTTTTACTTTTTTTCCAATTTTGATATTTTCTGCATATATTGTGATGTGCATCAAAAATGTGGTATATGTATTCTTCTTTATTTTCCTCTAAGATGAAGCTGATTTACAATGTCTGAAATCTACACTAAAAACTACATTAGTTTGTCACAAAAGGTTTTTAGTTCATATTGTAATTGAATTCAGAATTGTAGAACTTGAGAATGCACTTGAAATTGATTAATAATGTCTTATACAAGTTAAATATTCAACAGCTGAGATATTCATGTATAAACAGAATAAAGTGTATTGTATAATGTGACAGAAATTGGTTCAAATTATTTTTAGAATAATTTTAGAGGAAATATTTTTCCAGAATTATACATTTCTTAATACCATATATAAAATGCATTGCTATTCCTTTTGGATTAACGCACAGATTACAGTATCCACTTTTTTTTTTTTTTCTCAAGACTTACTGAACATAGGGCACCTTGTAAAGTGAACAATTATGAGCAATACAGCAATTATAGAACAAGTCAGCACTGTTTAAATGCCAAAACCATACACACAACTTATTCAGCATGTCAGATTTGTACAGACTTTTGTACTTTTCCTTAACAGGATATTTTTGTTTGCTTAAGTTCCCACAGTATTACATCATTTCCTTGGTGTCCCACAGGACAAGCAGTTTTGGGAAAGTCCAGCTCTACTTCCCCACGAGAACCCCAAAGCTGAGGTGGAGACGCCAGATCAAGCCATACAAGACGTATACATTACAGAGAGCATATAAAGGGGAGTCCTACTTTTGGGGGTTGCTTCCTCAACAAGGGGACCTCCTACAGTTCACCTTCGATCCTCCGGTTGTGATCAAAGGTGAGTCCTGTGAAGAGATGCTCGAGGACATAGTTACTGTAGATATTGTGAAGAGGAAAACTCAGGTCAAAATAAGGTTAGAGCTGAACCATGGTATGAGAAATGAGGTGGGCAGCTGGAGATGTAAAAATACAAGAAGGTGCCAGTGGTAAATTAAAGATTATGTATATGCTAAATGTGATGATCATACATGTCATTTTCAAGCTATTTCTTTTACCAGCATCACTGATTTTATTTGTGCTACTGAAAGAGGCATGTGAAAAAGAAATTCTCATTTCCAGTATCAAAAGACGACCAGCTCTCAAGTCGGTATCAGTTTTTCTTTCTTTGGTTTCATTGAATTTGCTAACATGGTACTTCATGATTGTTTATTTTTCCAAAGCCATTATACTTGATAAGCTACTATTTAATTTGTGCAATAAAGATAAGGAACATAATGCTAAGATAGATGGAAACCAGGGAGTAAAATTCGGAAAAAGGGATTGTATAAGAAAAAAGAATCTATCTATCTCTATCTCTGTGTATCTTAATTTATTATCTATATCTTTATCTGTGTCTATCTATGAATATCTATCTATACTTATCATTATTTGATATAATCCCAATGGTACAAGATATGTAGTACAAGAAAAGACATAAAATCAAACCAGAATCACTTACAAAATACACAGAATATAAGCAATCTCCAAGTAGAACTAATTTTCATCATTAATAATTTTTATTCATCTTCATTAATTTATAGAAATTTATATTTCAGCATTTGATTAGTTTCCCATTATCCATGCTATACTCCTGTACAATACATACATTCCAGAAATATACAGTTTATCATTAATCACTCATGTAAAATGAACACAGTCTACACAAAAATAGACCAATATAAAACTAATATGAACATGTGGGATAGAATTAATTTGTTATATTTTTTCCTGCAGGTTCTCTTTCGTAGTGGGAATGTTGAGCATCCATCCGACAGACTGTATAACACAACAGTAGAGGTGCTTCCTGTACAGCCATTTTCCAACATCCCTGCCGTTGCTGCGAAAAAATACAAAATTACTGAAGATAAATATATGATAGTCGGTAAGTGAATTGGAATGCCCTCTTCAATAACATATATATTATTATTATTAACATTTTTTTAAGTTAAAAGAATGGAGGAATATAGCAAGAGCACAAGGAATTCTGTGGTACTCATTATAGAAAATTGAATTTATAAGAAAATCTTATTCATTAATTCAATTTTAGTATAAATATTTTTACTGTTTTGATGAATATATATATATATATATATATATATATATATATATATATATATATATATATATATATATATATATATATATATATATATATTTAAGCATGCATGGCTGTATTTTTTTATTATTGTAATTATATATATTTTTCTTTTTTTCTTGTTATTCTAATCATTCTAATATCTACAGGTGACTTTGATGATATGGGTGTAGCAGAGGGTTAATAAATGGAGAATTAGGAGAAATTAAAACATTACGTCTACATGTCCATATAGACAGCGACAATTGGGCTATACTTAGTGAGGTGAGTTGCTTACTCTTAGTGTAAAGCATCTGTATTTGTTTATGATTATATATCCGTTTAGTCAATTTTTCCAGATTTGCTTATTCGCTTATCTTTTATACCTAGAATACTATTTTAACTAGATGCTTTAAATGCATAAACAGTTATGATACTTTCTGTAAATTTAAGAAACATTTTGACTACCAAAATGTCTCATAGTCTACCCTTTTTTGAAAATGTTATTTATTTTATATTTTTATTCATCTTTAAGTTATTATAGAAAATGATTCTATTTTCAGCATTTTTTCGTTTCACATTATCCATGCTATACTCGCACAATACGTACATTCCCAGAAATATACAGTTTTATTTCTCATTATTTATATTGCATGAACATTGCACTTACATTCTTTAAAAAATTAGGTTATCTTCTATTATTAATTTCATCAATAGATTCACATTTTCTTTGTTTTATTTATTAATTTCATTAATCAATTTATTCATCTACTCACATGTTCTTTATTTTTCATCACGCGTTGCAGATTCACATAGAAACTCCGGAAAAGAGGTGACCAGACGCTCCAATGGCCTTCACCTTCTGCGAGTGTCCAAGCATCTCGTGCCAGCAGTGACCAAGGCTCCATGTATGTTTCCAATGTGTATGAAAGTGATACAAAAAGACAAATGGGTGAAAGTTTTTAAAAATGGCCGGTAGCATTCTTGTTGATATTTATTACTGGTAATCAGATATTTTCGTATGAGAAGAACAAGATATATTCCATATATTGTGCTGAGGAACTTTTTTATACAGAATATATATATATATACATGTACACACATTTGTAGGCATATATGTTGCAAAAATATAGATTGACAGTGATCTGTGTCTACGGTCCTTATCAGAGAGGGTATAGGGCCCTAATATTTGAGAAATCTCATGTTCTAAGAGGCTGGATGTCATGTGATAGATAGTGTATTTCACAATAGATCTGATGGATAATAGACCTGTACGATTTAAAGATGATGTATAAAATACTGAGAAGTTTGTATCATTTATCATAATGTGTAATAATCTGGATGGATTATTGCTTCATTATCATGTGAATCTCATGACTTGATAGCTGTATTTAATCATTGCCTTCAGTTTTTTTTCTCTTATATTTTTTTTTTTCACACAGACATCATTCTCAGACTTTATATAAACCAACCCAACTGACCAAGTATGTCCATTTCTTGTGAATGTTTCATGCTAGAAAAAATAAATGAGGGAGAAAAATGTTCGAGGCGATAGAAGATAATATGCAGTTGTGATAGAGAGGATGTTTCATTCAAGAAGAGGTGTGAATATTTATATATATATAAAACATATAGATGCCTGGAGATTATAGATATTTAGTAATTTGTTTCAGTCGGAATCTCAGTTATCCTTCAGAAGAGGAGGAATTGTTGCTGTATAAGGTGCTTCGGTAGAATTAGATTGTTAAGAATATGAATCTGATGTTACAGTGGGTCTGGTAGGTAACCTAGTTTTATTTTGGTATATCCTTATTTTATTTAAGCATATCCCTATGTGAGTGGTACACTTTGTTGTCAATTTACATTTATTTATTCAGCCATGCTTTATAAAGATTAGTATCAAGTCTTCAGTTCTTTTTCCATATTTTGTTTTGTAGAAAAATAACTTATAAAATTCATTCACAGCAGATTATCATATCCTCCCCTCCATACATAAAACCATAATTATCTGCATATGTATATTTTGAAGCCACACTTCATCAGTTGACGTTCATCACACCTAAATGAATGGCATTTTGCATTTCATCAGATATTACAAAGAGTGGTTATGTAACCTCAAACGCATTTTTTCGCCTCAGTCTTATAGTTTGCCACATGATATCAGTCATCGCATTGTAGTATTTAAAGAACTAGTGTAACCACATAGCTAGAGTGGCCTGATAGTGCCTTTTATAAGATATGAAACACTTGATATGATGAAATAACTTTTGTCTAGTTCCTGTTGTGCAAGAAAATGAGACTGTAAAAAAAGGTGTTTTTAATTAAGATAAAGAATATATATCTTAATTTTTGCTGCAAAGATTGAAAGCATTCATACACAGAAAAACAAATAGACAAATCAAGAGAAAAAGATATTCTAGTGTTTCTGTACAAGAGCAAGGAAAGGTTTTTGTGAGTGGTATCTGCCATGTTAGGTTCTTGTAAATAGAATGTTTATATAGTGACAAGTTATTTTGATTTGGTGCTTCTATTAGATGTATAGTATATTTTACTCTGGTTCTTATTTGTAGCACCAGCATGTTTAAGAGAGTAGAGAGAAAATGGTTGCTGTCTGAGAAAATTTAATTTCTTTCCATTGTGAAAAAATGGGAAAAAATAATTGCATCAGAGTCTATTTGTAATATTCTGTATCTGTGTTTAGTTGCATTTTAAAGAAATAAGAGTAGCATTAGAGTATATGAAATTTCAATGCTTTAATGCAATAGATTTGTTTAGATTATATACAGCAAAGAATATAAATATAGTTTGGAACATTTCTGTTTGGGAATCAAAATTTGCTGTTCGTATTACTTATATAATTACACAATGGGACTAAATGTACTTATAGATTTTATAGAGGTATATACTGAGAGAGAAAAAGTTGTACAGTGGTTGATTTCTGTAATTTGTTATTTATTATTCTCATTATCATTTTAAAGAGGTGCTTTTAGGTATTTTTCTTATAAAGGAGGCTTTGGCACAACATATTTTGATTTCAAAAAGCTGAAAAAAGGTAACAATGAAAAGTTTCCATAGCTTCATAGAGGATCACTTCATACACAATTTATTATTTTGAATTGCTATATACTTAACATACTGAGTTACGTCAAGCATTCATATGTCTATTTTTTAATGAAATATAGTTATTTTTAATCGCCCTTCCTCTTTGTTTTTTTGGGAGTAACATAGTGTTTTTTGAATAATCTGTTATTCAGTACTTAGATTTTATTAACTAATACCTATTTCTTTCAAGGGCTATCTTCTTTCTGTAAGTGTTAAGTTATGGCATATATGTACTTAAGAATTTAGGAAGAAAAAGTTATATGTATTCAGATATTTTAACACAGGTATATATATATTTTTTGTTATTAACAGATTAACTTGCACATTTTGAATAACTGGGACACTATTTCTACTTGGTTTATTTCCTTCTTCCTTTCTTCTTTCATTCTTGTAGCAGAAACTTTCATTTATGATTTAACTTTGTATAAAGGGTTCAAAATTTTTGAATGAGTTTGTTCATATTTGGAATTCAGCATAGATGGTGCCAAATGTCTCACTTTGTTTCTAATAAAACTATAACAAATTTGGTATTTTTATATCCAATATAAAAAACTGATGTGCAAAATATAGTCTAATTGACAATACTTGGCATTGCTCATACACCATGTGTGTATGCATATATGTATGTACATATCTATACATATGTATATGTGTGTGTGTGTGTGTGTGTGTGTGTGTGTGTGTGTGTGTGTGTGTGTGTGTGTGTGTGTGTGTGTGTGTGTGTGTGTGTGTGTGTGCATGCAAGGTCTATACAAGTACTTACATAGACTTTGTGTGCGTGTGCCTGTGCGTAATAAGACTTGTCAGTTCCACTTCAAATATATGTAGATTTCATTTTTAACGTACACACACCTTAAAAGTGAGACACCCCCTTTTGCCAGTACTCGGTCTCCCGCTGTCCAACAATGTGCAATGTTCGCTCTTCGTCTCGCTTCATCCCGCATTATAAGTGACATTACGTACAGAAAGAAAAGTTCTCTTTTTAACCCTCAAGGCCTGTCTCTACCCGTTGTAAACTGTTCAACCTGATCCAGAGAAAGCTAAATGTGTTCTGTCACAATAGCACCTTGAGCTCTTTACATCAAATGGAATAATTAATGTCTCATTTTAAAAGTTGAATGCCCCTTTCCACCAGTAGTTCACAACCTTTTCGCAAAGGGATTTTGAAAGGCGTTTAAGCTTCCAAAGGAGGTGTTGGGGAGACACCATAAATATGTATGGCCATTCTTTAATGATATATGCTTACAGACTAGGAGGAATTAAGATTAATCAGTTACTAAATGCTTCATTCGCTAATCATTCTCATAAGAAGGTACGTAATTGGTAAATAATGAACTGCAGCGTTGTGCTACCCTTACACCATGGCCTAACAGGTAAATAGTGGACAGGAGTTGCCTTCACACAGAAACCTGGCCCGCTGAGTCCGTCCTCTACAGTTCCTCTTTTCCAGATTTTTTTTTTTTTTTTTTTTTTTTTTTTTTTTTTTTTTTACATTACAGAAACTTCAAAAATCAAGGGAAGCTTAAGTTTATAGCTGCTAGTTTATGAAAGAATATGTTCTAAGGTTTGTTTTTGTCTGTCTGTCTCTCTCCCTCTCCCCCCTTCTCTCTGTCTGTCTGTCTCTCCCCCTCTTCCTCTCTCTCTTTTCTTTTCTCTCTCCCTCTCCCTCTTTCTCACTCTCTCTCTCTCTGTTTCTCTCTTCCCCTCCCCTCCCCCCTCTCTCTCTCTTATTCTCCTCTCTCCCCTCCCTACCTCTATCTCTCTCTCTTTCTCTCGAACTACTAGTTTTGACTTTTATCCGAAACGCGTTTCTGATAGGAGTCGAACCTGAAAGTTCAAATTGTGAATCACACATTTACACAGAGGCCAGCGTGGAAGTTGACGTGGATTGTAATCTTGAAATTTTGTCACAGCTTAGCCACGCACCCGTCTTTTTATGTAAGCGTTAGATTGAATTTTTTTTATTTTTATTTTATCTACGCGTACAGCTACACAGAGAACTATCGCTAGGATGGGTTTGGAAACATTCAATAACGAAGAGAACCTTTTGTTACGGAAGGGTTGAGGTTTTGGGTTTCGAATCTGTCTCGTTCTGATTCATGTTTCGAAAAGTCGTTCCGGAATTCACGTGATGATTTTATTCCCATAGGTAATAGAATATGCCCTGCAATATTAAGATAGGTCACACGTACCCAAAAGTAGTTTGAAAATCAGGATGCCAACAGTTTCATAGCGTTAACAACTATATTTCAAAAAGTATCATTGCTTGTATCAATATGTTTAGCATGATTTTCTAATATATGTCTGTGTAGCTGTACACTGATCAATGTCGGTGGTGGTTTCCGGGTCAGTACGTTATTGTTAGCGCTTTTAGCAATCATCATTGTTATCGTTGTCATTACCATTTTCCTCATCATTACCACCATCACCATTATCGTCATCATTATTATCACCATCACTATCATTATTATCGCCATTATAATCATTATCATCATCGTCATCAATACTATTATCATTGTTATCATTACCATTATCACATCATCATCAGGTAGTATTGGAAATACAACCCCGCACCTAATTTAAAGAATCTGAGCTTACCAAGTGGTATAACACATCATTCTATGAAAGTTTTCTTCTATACCATTTCCTGTGCAAATTGATAATAACGGTGTTATAGAGGGTAAAAAAATCGACGATTTCCAGGAGCCGCAGTAACCTACCGCCTCCAACGGCGCGACAAAATGACAAAAAGTCGTTAAGAGCGACGGTAAATCGGACGGATTTGTAGCGGATGACGTATGCGAGGGAAATCAAATGAGCCAATTAGATTCGTGCGTGAAGGTGACGTGAACATAGACACCCAATAGAACCAATCAGATATGGAATAGATCATCACGTGACAATAGAAGCTGGACCTAGGAGAAGCCTTTTGAAATTCAAATCAGTTCCATCATGGCTAGACATTGTGTAGGTTGTGAGAACCATTATTTCGTTTCGCGAAATAATAAAACGAAGCAAGCTTA